TCAGGGCAAGAAAGTAGCTTTGCTAGAGACTGACATACAGAGTAACACTGTGTGCATCTGGTATTAGTTTTAGGGCAACACACAGCAGGAGATCACTGTGGAGATCACTGTGGAGATCACAGTCTGGCTGTGATCAGTTCATCACAGGCCTCAGCAGAGAATCTTTGCTCCTGAAGTCTGTAGATTTCTGGGGGAAGGGTTAAGCTCTGTGGCAGGAGGACCACAATTCCATGTGCATGTGATGTATTCTGGATGAGCAAACTAGTATGTCTCCCAAACGGATGCTGTACTTCCTTTCAAATGTATGTAGAAACTATTATGATGACTAAATACAACTTTATTGAAAAAATTACTAATAACTTGCATCAAAACATATTTTTTCAGTTTTTTATTTTATTTTTTTAAAATTTTTTGGAAAGAGAGTGCAGGTTTGCGGGGGAGGGGCAGAAGGAGAGGGACAAAATCTTAAGTAGACTCCATGCTGCGTGTGGAGCCTGACGCAGGGCTCCATCTCACCACCCTGAGGTCATGATCTGAGTTGAAATCAAGAGTCAGAGGCTTAACCAACTGAGCCACCAAGGTGCCCCTATTTTTTCAATTAAGATATAAAATATACCTATTTTTGAATAAATATGAGTGAACATGAAGCTTTCAGTATTAGAAAGATGTTCTCGTACTCACCGATGCTGTGAGTGGTGAGGGGTGGAGTTAGTGACACCTGGTGGTGGCAGTTCCTGTTAGTAATGAATTAGCTCCGTGAAGACCGGTACTGGCTCTTCTTACCATTAAACACGTAAACGCTGGTGCCTGGCAGTTAGTAAGTCAAACCTGACTGAATGAATAAGTGAATGAATGCATAAAGTTTGAGCTGACAAATGTCTACCTTTCAACCACTGGATTCTGACATGTTACATAGAACTCCAGCTATAGGTTCCCTGAAAAAATTTAAAAAAAAGTCTGCCAGTTCTCAGTCAGTTGGTACATAAATACTGTGCTAATTAATGGGATGCAGTCATGTGATACTTGTGATACCTGTGAAAATTAATGGGTCAGCCCACATACCAGTGTATGAACTTGTTCCCATCCAAGGACTCAGTTGAGATGGGAATAATAATTTCATATAGTGCACTTCACTTGTGACTGTCACAATAAAACCTGAGTTATAAGAAAAAGACCCATGTCATTTGAATTTTCTTTTACTAACTTGAAATATGATTTATGGGGCAACTGCGTGGCTCAGTCGGTTAAGCATCCGACTCTTGATTTCAGCTCAGGTCATGATCTCATGGTCATGAGATCAAACCCCGCATCAGGCTCCATGCTCAGTGCAGAGTCTGCTTGTCCCTCTTTCTTTCTCTCTGCTGCACCCCCTGCCCCCCCGCCCCACTCACATACTCTCTTTCTGTCAAATAAATAAATAATTAAATATCTTAAAAAAATAAAATATGATTTATAAAGACTTTTGACTAAAAATGGAAAAACTCTTTATTCAATTCTTCAAAGGGAGTAAAACATGTACTCAGGATTTAATTAAAGCATTTTCCATGAAGAGATGTCAGCTTTGGTTGTAACCTCCTAATGGACTCTCATACATGGGCCAGAGATTATACTCCAAACTCTATGAGTAAGACCAGTATAGGCAGTTCTGATATTTCTCTTTTCCCTCACCCTGGGACTGTCAACTCTTAGAAAATCCGAGTAGGTCCTAATTTATAAACATTGAATTTATGCTCATGCCATTGAAGCATCATGGGAGAGATAATAAGAGGAAGTGGAATCAGGAAATTCAGAGACCCCCAAATTGTTCAAGTGGAAAGGAAGTTTAGAGATCATCATAGTCCAGCCTGTCCATTTTACTGATATGGCCCCAAATATGAAGTGACTGGTACAAGATCACATATCCAATTAGTTCTAGAGTTAGACCACTAAGATTTTTCTTGCCTCAAAACCTCTACTTGGCAGTGGTCTCCATTAAAAAAAACAAAACAACCCCCCCCCCAATGTATCCAGGGTTTAACTCCAATGTTACCTCTTCCAACATTGGTTGACCCAATGACTCTCGATAGACGTGTTTTCCATTTGCCCCTCTAGCACTGCTTTCCACCTGTCCCAGTGAGATGACCTTTAAAGTCAATATCAGTAGGTTCCATTGCCCTCTGGCTTCTGGCTGGGTATGGCCAATGGGATACTTGGCAGGGTGTTGGCAGCGAGGAGGAAATTGAGGTCAGTGCATTTATTAGCATGGTGGTCTGGCAATATGACTGTAAGCCATTGGTGGCTGTCTTCACTACTAAAAGCCACAGTTCCTAGTGGGAGACCCAATAGGAGAGGTATAGCTTTCTCTTGGGTTCTGGTCACTGCTCCTTTCCTTTGTCCATCCAGGCCTAGGGGGAGGACTGGCTCCCCACTTTTTATTAGTCCCAAGATACTTCACTGTTCCTTGCTGACTTACCCTCGTACTGCCCACACTATTTGTTTATTTAAAAAAAAATTTTTAAAGGCTTTATTTATTTACTTGAGAGAGGGAGAGGGACATGCAGACTCAGTGTTGAGCATGGAGCCTGACGCGGGGCTTGATCCCATGACCCTAAGATCATGACCTGAGTCGAAATCAGGAATCAGACACTTAATCGAATGAGACACCCAGGCACCCCTACCCACACCATTTAAAAAGTACTTTTATTAAACTCAGTTACTCCATTGAGTATAAAATCGATTTCCTGCTTGAACCCGGATTACTATACCGCTCCTCTGTTGCCTTATTTTCTTCCCTCATAGCACAAATGGCAAACTATCTTCAACTTGGGTTTTTTGTTTGTGTTTTTTTTTTTTTTTTAATTTTGTTTGTTTGTTTTTTACTTACTTATAATCTGGCTTTCCCGACCAGAATGTGTTTCCATGGCTTGGCACAGTGCCTGACACATGGTAGGTACTTGATAAATGTTTGTTGAATGAATAGGTCCAGGCATCAAACTTCTAGCTCAAAATTCTTTCTACACATTATAATGAGAATAACCCCCTAGAACTTTTAGGCATGAATCTATGTAAAGGGGAATTTTAATTCATTTCGATGACAATATAAATTGCGTAGGCTTCTGTGGCTGGTAGCTACTATTTAATGTATGGTTTCTATAGTAAAATGTACGTTTCATTAATCCATTATTTTTCATTAGATTGTAGTTTCATGAAGGTAGGGACCAGGTGGACCTTGCCCATGGTTTATGTCTGAGGCTTTGGACACTGCCTGATACAACCTAAGTTTTACTTCGTGTGAAATACCACGCTGAACACTGGTGACCTGGAGATATATAAGGCAGAGACTCTATCCTGAGGGGCCCACAGTCTTACTGAAGAGACTAAGATGAACAAAATCACAGGTGATGTAATGGGAAAGTGTTTCAGGATCACAGAGAAAGAAAAAAGGCCAGTGAACTCTTTAGATAATCTGGTGGAGGGAGAAGGGAGCCTTCTAGGATTTTCCTTTTCTGAAACTACTTATTCAGCAGCATTATTTCAAAACTACGAATTCTAAAGTGAACTTTTGCAACCCGATCCAATTAGAAGCTGAGGATTTCATGTAAATACAAAGCCTTTCTGCTTTGTGCTGCTGGTTTTATATTTTCCTTCTTTTATCCTTTTATTCTCTTCAGAAAAAAAAAGTGAAGGAAGTAAAGATCATTTTTGAATCTGGATTTTCTGAGTGTTGGCCATGTTCAAAAGATGATAAAATCTTGTTTTTCAAGAGTGCTGTTTTGGAGCATCATGAAACTTATTTGACCTTGACTGCAGGGAAAAAAAAATTACCAAAAAAAAAAAAAAAAGCAGAGAAAGAAAAACTTGTTATATTCCCCACCAGAGGGAGACAATTTTTTTCCTTTTGCCTTTCAAAACCTAAATTCTGATTAACATAGATTTGAAGAGTACAATACAAGGTTTACTAGAGCTGATTAATACCCAGGGGAAAAAAACAAACTTACAATCTAATTTGTTTACTTTTGTCTTTTAATATCAAATTATTTTCGAGATCTAGGTTCTGTTCTGCCAGCGCAGTAAATGCTACTTAACATGCATGAAACTTTAAGAGCTACTTGTTATTTCAGTGTCGACTTTCTCTCTAATTATGTTAGTATGGATTCAGATAGGACACTGATAATATAACAACATGGAATAATTTAGCATAATTATTTCCTGTAGTAAGTCATTTACAAATCAACCTTAAACTTTAGAGACAGGGGCATGGTGGTGGAGGAAGAGGCCAAACTGGTAACAATGTCTTCTTCTGTTGGCAAGACTGTAGATGAGGAAAATGTCGAAAAAAGCTGAAACTGAGTCAGTCAGTTTTCAATCTACTGCAACTCTTGAAAACTTTTTCAAAAGAAATCTACTTACAGTAGTTGCTAATTTAGGAAAAAACAATGCATGAGCAGTAACTCCTATCTATGGCATATCTGTGCTTAGGATAATTAAACATTTTATCAAAAATGTAGAAAATTGTACAAGACCTCCTGTACTTTTAAGAAGTCCAATTACATGCCCAATTTAATAGAGAGAGTGTGAGATCTACATGTCCAGTGTAATTACTTGGATGTTTCATTCTTCTCTATGGTTCTTTTCGGAAACCCATTCAGAGCTGACCTGTGTAAATGTTTTTTAAATGACTCTGAAACATTTTACAAATCCAATTAGTGCACAGTCAGATCTTCTCAGCTCACCTCATTTGACACAGGGTACTGACAAAGTAGACTTACTGCTTATCGTGACTCTTTTTTTTTTTTTTTTTTAAGATTTTATTTATTGAGAGAGAGAATGAGATAGAGAGAGCATGAGGGGGGGAGGGTCAGAGGGAGAAGCAGACTCCCTGCTGAGCAGGGAGCCCGATGTGGGACTCGATCCCGGGACTCCAGGATCATGACCTGAGCCGAAGGCAGCTGCCCAACCAACTGAGCCACCCAGGCACCCTATCGTGACTCTTATTTACTTACTTTCTTTGTCATTTTTAGAAGACGTGCAGCGGGGCTGTGGAACAGCTCTCAGAAGCTCACATTTAAATATGGGATGATGTGGAGGCATCAGGTAAAATATTTGTCTGGTTCGGAGCCTGAGTTTCTCATCATAATTCAGTGAAGGTAAGTGGATGCTTTGGAAAAGCACAGAGTGTCACTTACGTTTCACTTGCCTCAGGTATCATTTAATCAGCGAGCACGGTTAATAATTCTGCTTTTCCATTTGTCAAGATCTCAATATTTTTTCAATATGAGGTCTGCTCCAGTGTACTTTACATGACACTTTATAATTAGTGGTACTTGAGAATTTGGCAGTTTTAAAAATTCATACAACATTCTTAGTTACAATTTATAAATGATTTTAAAGTATAATTAACATTCATCTTTACAAGTTATATGCAAACAAATATGCAAATTCAGAAATAAATATGCAAACATATAAAATGTTTTTGAATTAAGTAGTCCTTAACATTTTTAATGAAATCAATATTTTATTCATATTTTGCACACAATTTTGAGTACTTACTGATTTGAGGGGGTCCATGGCATATAGGCTTTTGCATATTGCAACCTCTAACTACCAGCAACAGGAGGAAATGAGAATGAGTTCATTTTTTTTGTGAAAACAGAAAGGATGATTTTGCAGACAAATCTAATAGGTGCTGTTGAGTGGGTTACTGATGTAATTAAAATGGTCTTTTTGCTCCTTGAACTTCTTCTTTTTTTTTTTTTAAGTAGGCCCCACACCCAGCATGGAACCCAGTGTGAGGCTTGAACTCATGACCTTGAGATCAAGACCCTGAGATCAAAACCTGAGTAGGAAATCAAGAGTCGGATGCTTAACCAACTGAGTCACCCAGGCACCCTGCTCCTTGAACTCTTAACCTTACAAGGAACCTTCCTTAGGAAACATAAAACCTGTTTGGATCTCAGGATGATAAAGTTGAGGACATTAACAAAGTGCCCATTTAGCTTCTTGAGTTGGTGGTTAATAAAGGCTATAAACTGAATTTTTTTTTTTAAAGATTTTATTTATTTATTTGAGAGAGAGAATGAGATAGAGAGAGAGCATGAGAGGGGGGAGGGTCAGAGAGAGAAGCAGACTCCCTGCTGAGCCGGGAGCCCGATGTGGGACTCAATCCCGGGACTCCAGGATCATGACCTGAGCCGAAGGCAGTCGCTTAACCAACTGAGCCACCCAGGCGCCCCTAAACTGAATTTTTAACCATGGATTCTTGAGGTATTAAAGTCTGAAAGGAGGAGAATACAGGGGTCAGTATGAGATGAACACAGGATTATTGGAAAATGCACCTTCAGTGGAAAAGTCACTAAGCAAGAGTAGAGATTCAATAAGTTTACTTATGATTTTAAAGAAAATCTATTCAAAAGGTTAACTGACTCAAAATCTTTGTTTGCTCGTTCAACAAACACTCATCTTTCAGGGCTTGGCTTCAGTTCTTGCTTTTCAGGGCAGATTTCTCACTACCAGGGTCTTCCTTCTCTGAATTCCTACTGCATTAATAAGTCCATCAGGCGAAGGTTTTTATACCCTCATTCCGGGCAAGGACTACATTCAGTGCTATTGGGGGTACAAAGAAGTAGAAGACTGAATCAATTAGCACCACACAGTTTAGCTCTAAAATGTTCTTCAGTTTTTACCGGTATCCATGCTGTACTATTATTTTTTAAACGGCACATTTCTTGAGGGAAAAGAACTTCATTTATATAAGAGATGGTGAGAAGAATTCATTTTGAGTGGTGGCTCTGCGGAATTAGTAGTTGCTCACTGGAATGCTGTGTAAAGCGGGATTCTGAGGTCGTGTCATTAGAACCAATACCACTATGTTTTTGTCATCCTTGCTCAACTCAGAATCTTATTTTTAGTAGTAGCATTTCTTTTATTAGAGAATGAGAGCTTTATGATCCACTTAATTTCCCTTTTTTAACTGCTGGTAACTCAGGGGAAAGTTTTAATATAATTTTCTTTGTCTCTTTATTACTTGATTTTTTTTCTTTTATTTTGTGGACTATGTTATTGTACTGTAAATTTGTTTTAAACAGCCAGTTGCTTTAAATATTTTTGAAAGAAATAGATAATTACATATTCTTCTTTCTATAAACTTTATGGTGCCTAGCATAGGTCCAGAGCCCCAAGGAAGCATAGAATATATGCACTTTGATTGCACGGAGAACACTGAACCTAATTCTATTGGGGTCTCATATGGTAAATGCACAATGAAGCATGAATGAGTGAACGAATGAACGAATGAGTTCAGAAGGAATTCAAACCATGAGAAAGATCGTGATGGGATGTGATTTGCCAAGTAAAGCATCAGACTGGAGATGAATCTTGGCTAATGCCTTTAAAAAAGGCATAGACTAAAGATTGGAATAGTAGGAAATAGCTTGGTGGGGAAAAAAGGTTTAGCAAGAATTGAAAATGACAAGAGCCATAATGCAATAATATTTGACTCTTCTACATGGGCCTATTTGCTTGGGTGGAATGTAAGATCGCAGAGATCAACACTTAAAAAAAGTTTCATCCAGGACACATTCGTGTAGTCATCCAGACGGTATTTCCAGGGTGTTTTCAAGTTGTTTGTTGATGAAGGTGATCCTGCTACCTACATTTATTTCAAATTCAAAAACAAAAGATACAAGATGTGATGATTTGAACTTGCTGATTTAGGGTAAAATAATTCATTTACATGCATCCCAAATTAATCCCTCCGTAGAATCAGAATAAGAAATTGAAATTCTGATTTGCTGCAAACTGCTCCAGAATGTCTGTGGGGACTGGCTTTGTTTAGTTGTTGCCGCACAAGAGTCTTAGGTAAACAACATATAGCTCTATCCACGTGCATCTGGGTAGGCTTCAACATATTTATTATGCAACTTAAACATGAAAAAGCCAGATCTGCTGCACTTAGCAAAAGAACTAAATCTCATTCAGTGTCAAACAAACCCCTACCACCTTCTTGTCAAGTAACCTTGGTCTTTAAAGACTATCCCTACACAATCAGTCACTTCCATATGCCTTTCATTCTTCCCTTATTCTAGGTTTTTTTCCTCAACGTTTTGTTTCTCTGGGCTGAATTTCATCTCAGTTGATTGCCCAATTCACTTTTCATTCAGTCATAATTGTTTTTTGAATTGTCTTAAATTCTCAAATGGATTATGACAATTTGAAAATTAACAATGGTGCCATAATTGCATGGGGCTGTGTGATCCACAAAACCCTGTTGGCTGATGTTTTTCCCCCCTACCTGTAATTTTTTTTTTTTTAACCAAATGTGAAAAGGTAGAAGTACACACACAAGCAGAAAATACATACGGTTGTGATTTACAATAATGCTTAGTTTTCCAATATTTGGAAATCAACCACAGATACCTGTAAAACTATTTTAATACAGAAATGAATAAAAAAAGAATTCAATCAGGCTTTCTTTCTTTCAGACTGTTTCTTTCTCTTGTGGAAGTGGGAACATACACAAGCAGGATAACACTTTCTGTATGTGTATGGAAATTAAAATTCAGAAAAATATCATTATTCTTTAATTATCTGACTTCAGCTGGGCTCTCAGTGCAACTTGGCAATCCTTTTACTTCTCCCTGGTTGGCTTCCTCACATTCCTCATGAGGCAGCTGCTCCCAACCTTTCAACTTGTGCCATTCTTCTCATTCTCAGCCTTTACCCTTGCTTCATAATTTACAGAGAATATAGTGGTTTCTGAGCAGTATCCTTGGAATTTCTTTACTTCTTCTACCTGCAGACTCACCTGCAGAAGCACGCAGATTTTAACCTGTCTCTCCCTCAGTCTTGAAGGAAGAGGGTTTTACCTTCATTCCAATGTTAGCCTTTGGGGTGCATTGGCTTCCATCTCCTCTGGCCTTGCCTCTCCATGTCAGGCTCCTTCTTGCCCTCTCCCCTGGCTCCCTCTCTTCAGCCTACAGACATGATCACATCTACTGCTACCTTAACCTCCCCCCACCTCCCTTCTTGTCTTAGCCACACTTGACCCTAGGTGTCCAGCCAACTCTCTTTTCCACCTGCAACACCCCTCCCCATTCACTGGTCATTGGGGCTGAGGAAGAAAGACCACATCAATCTCAGGTAATCACCTGGGAGCTCTTGCCCACTCATTCTCCTCTCCTAGCTTATCATCCCTGTTCTCTATTTCCTTGTTTTTAGCCCCACTTTAGGGAGCTGTTTCTGGGTCCTCAATTTTTAGTCTTGTATGTTTCCCTGGTTGTAGCTTCCATGTACCTTCTCATTTATCCTGGATCCTAGTCATACCTGGTGGGCTAAAGTTTGGCTTTTTCTACCAAAAAAGGGGGTCTCAGACATTCTCCTGAACTCTGAAGCACTTTGAAAACTGTTTCTACTTCCTCAGCTCCTACTCTGTTCTCATCCCATTGATCCACCTGGTCTTGCTAAGATTACTGATGGCTTCCCTATTGCTAGATCCAATGCCCTATTTCCAATTTTCAACATTTTCTCAGCTTTTTTCTTTCTTTCTTTCTTTCTTTCTTTCTTTCTTTCTTTCTTTCTTTCTTTCTTTCTTTCTTTCTTTCTTTCTTTCCTTCCTTCCTCCTTCCTCCCTCCCTCCCTCCTTCCTTCCTTCCTTCCTTCCTTCCTTTTTCTTTCTCTTCTTTCTTTCTTTCTCTTTCTTTCTTTCTTTCTTTCTTTCTTTCTTTCTTCCTTTCTTTCTTTCTTTCTTCCTTTCTTCCTTTCTTCCTTTCTTCCTTTCTTCCTTTCTTCCTTTCTTCCTTTCTTCCTTCCTTCCTTCCTTCCTTCCTTCCTTCCTTCCTTCCTTCCTTCCTTTCTTTCTTTCTTTCTTTCTTTCTTTCTTTCTTTCTTTCTTTCTTTCTTTCTTTCTTTTCTTTTCTTTTCTTTTCTTTCTTTCTTACTCTCTACACCCAATATGGAGCTTGAATTCATGAACCTAAGATCAAAAGTTGCTTGTTCTTCTGACTGAGCCAGTGAGGCGCCCCAACATTTTCTCAGCTTTTAACACTGTTGACTCTCTTGACTTCTGGACGCTTCTTCCATTGGCTTCCAGAACACCAATCAGTATACATACCTTTATGGAAGGCCTACTATTCTGATTTTTGAGATACAAAGGGGAGTAATACATGGTCTCTGCTCCCAAAGATATTATAATGTAGAGGAGAAGAAAGACAGGTAAATAGGCAAGTACAAATCAGGAAATAAAGTCTGCATGGGAAGAGTAACTCATTCCTGGGCCTGAAGGGCCAAAGAGGACTTCACTTATTTCTGAACTGAGGTTTGAGGCATGACTAGGAGCTACCTAGGTAGGGTGGGGCCAGGATAAGAGTGTCAAGGTCCAAAGGAGAGAAAACGTGAATGTTCAGATAACTTCAATACGATTGGCATGATTGGAATGGAAAGTTTGGTTAGTGTGCTGTAAGAAATAGAGCTGGACAGGGCAGGGGTCAGATCATAGAATTCCATGTGAGCCATTTTAAAGAGTTTGGAAATTATGCAAAGACAATGAGAGCCTATTGTAAAATAGTACATGGAAGAGTGACATGATCTGAGTCACATTTTAGAAGGATCACTCTGGCTGCTGAGTAGATAATGAGTTGAGCAGTACAGGAGGGATGACAGCAGGCAGGGTAACAGGCTGTGGTGGAAATCTAGCCCAGATTCTCCTGGCCTGATACAGGTAAGCAGTCACGTGGACAGCAAAAGAAGAAAGATGTGATGGATTTTAACTGTATTAAGGAGAAATAATGAAAAGGGCTTGGCAGTTGATTAAGTTATCCTTTGTAATCGTCTTCAGTTCCTTGCTATCTCACCATGGTGTTTTTACCTATGGAAACTATAGCATTTCTCACTTTTAATTTTATTTTTCTATTACTTACCAGATCTTTGACTAGGACTCTGATTAATCTCAATCCCCATTCCACAGCATGATGCCTTGTGGCTAGAAGGTAAAAAACAAATGCCGTTTGACCAAGTGACTCCACTTCTCTGGGTAATGTTCACTGTTAATTTTAACGTACACCTCTGCCGGATTATCATCCTACCCCTGTCACCCTCCCACACATTATACAATCAACAGACTGCTTCATCTATTTTAAGTTTCAAAAGTTGCAAATCAAACTTTCTCTTCCATTGAAACTCTTTAAAAATGTTTATTTTTAATAATGTGAATTTTTAATAATATTGTCCTTTTACTTGCTTTCTATTGCTGATGTAAAAATTGCCACAAACACAGAGACATAAAACCGCACACATTTATTATCTCTGTACATTAGAAGTCCAGGTAGGCTTGACTGGGTTTTACGCTCAGGGTATTACAAAACTGAAATCAAGATGTCAGCTGAGCCAGGCTTCTATGTGGACTCTCTGGAAAGAATTCACTTCCAAGTTCTTTGGATTGATGGCCAACTTCAGTTCCTTGCAGTTGTAGGACTAAGGTCCTGGGTTCTTTGCTGGCTGTCTGCCAGGGGCTACTATGGCTGCTGAAGGCCACCTCCTTCCCTTTTCATATGGCCCTTCCATCTTCAAACCAGCAATGCCAGCAATGGTGAATCAGGTCCTTCTTTTTTTTTTTTCTCCCCAGCTGTATTGAGGAATAGTTGACAAATAAAATGGTAAGGTATTTACAATATGATGATTTTATATACATATAAATATATGTTGATATATTTTTAAATATTTTGAATATATTTCAATATATTTTTAATCTCTATATTTTTATTTTTAATATGTTTTATATTTTTGTATATTTTATGTCTATATACTTTTATATTTGTATACATTATATATAAATAAATATATGTATGTTGTGAAGGGATTCTTCCCATTGAGTTAATGAACACATCCATCACATCGCTTTTTTTTTTTTTTGGTGTGAGCATTTAAGTTCTATTCTCTTAGCAAATTTCAGTTATACAATACAGTGTTATCGGCTATAGTCACCATGTTATACTTTAGATCCTCAGACCTTTTCATTTTCTGAGAGTTTAGAGCCTTTCACCAGCTTCTCCCTATTTTCTTATTTAAAAAAATTATTTAAAAATTTATTTAAAAAATTTTAAATAAATTATTTAAATTTATTTAAAAATTTATTTATTTATCTCCCTATTTATTTATTTGCCCCATTACTGGCCCCGCCTCCAGCCCCCGACAAGTACTTTTCTTACTCTAGGTTTCTAGGAGTTAGCCTTTATTTATTTATTTTATTATTTTTTTTAAGATTCCACGTATAAGTGATACCATGCAGTACTTGTCTTCCTCTGTCTGGCTTATTTCACATAGCATAATAATGCCCTCCAGGTTCATCCATGTTGTCACAAATGAAAAGATTTCTGTCTTTTTTTTAATAATCCACTGTATATTTGCACCACATTTTCTTTACCTATCTACCTGTTGATGGACCCTTAGGTTCTTTTCCTACCTAGTTAAGTCCTTTTCAGGCTTTCAATTTCTCTGACTTACCCTTCTTACCCTGATCTCAGCTTCTTAGGACTCTTCTGATTATACTGGGCCCGCCTGGATGATCCAGGATAATCTCCCTATTTTAAGTACATCTGCTTAGTAACCTGAATTACATCTGCAGAGTCCCCTTCGCCATGTACTGTAACATATTCATGGCTATGGTGTTTCATTATATTCACAGTCCAGGGACTAAAAGTGAGGCTTCTTTGGATGGTCATTTTAGAAATTCTGTCTACTGCATTCTTATTTTAAATTGGAAAAAATTATAAGTAGAAGCTGCTATAATTTCATATGTAAACTAATCGGTAGTGTTTGGCATGTTTTTTTCTGGATAAGTGTCCCATAATTTGTTACCTACTGAAATTTTAGATCTACTTGTTTAGTCTTTTCATACTTCTATCTGAAACTACTGTGTTAAAAGGGGAAGGATCAGATCTTCGGTAGCCAAGATGCCTGGATAGGAATGTCCTAATCATGAAGAAAATCTGATTTTGTGACCTGAAACATTTAGAGAAGATTTTTAGCTATGGGGAAGGGGAGGGGAGGCAGACAGTGTGAGTTTGCTGTAGTCATACCAATTGCATGATTTTGTTTTCTCTTTTTCTAAGATTTTATTTATTTGAGAGACAGAGGAATAGAGAGAGAGAGAGAGAGAGAGAGAAGCATGCACACGAGCAGAGGGAGAGGGAGAAGCAGGCTCCCAGCTGAGCAGGGAGCCTGACACGGGGCTGGATCCCAGGACCCTGGGATCATGACCTGAGCCGAAGGCAGACGCTCAACCGACTGAGCCACCCAGGCGCCCTTGCATGATTTTGTCTTCCTGAGGGATGAAGAATCATGACTTTTTGGGTAATCGAAATTCCCTGACAACCCTTGTATTCAGATATGACTTTCATTTATTCAGAATATTTAATGAGCATCTACCAGGTTCTCAGGCACTATTCTATGCACCGGGAATAGAGTGGTATACAAGGCATGCCAAATTCCTGTCTTCTCAGAACTTCTTCTTGTTGCCCTGTACTTTGGTGAACCGAGGAGTAAAATGGCAAAAAAAAGGAGAGATAGGGTGTGGTCATTTCTTCTCATATGGATCAATGTGCTTAGAGAGCTTCCCACACCAATCTTCCTTTCTTCTTGAAAAGCAGCCTCGGATTCTGGAGATCTCAAGTAGGGATTGCAAAAAAGAGTTAGCCTTTACCAGTTTGACTCATCGAGGAGATAGGCTGACAGAGGTAGTTAGGGTTGGGAAATTATTCTGATTAAACACTAGTGACTTTTCATTTTTCAAAAGGTTTGGCATAAAGAGAGGGAGAAATCACAAACAACAGCCTCAGGAGAGAGTTTCAGGGATGACTAAGTATTCAGCTGGCAAAGATCCAGTTTGTTGTATGGCATATTGGGAACGTAGCTGGTGACACAACGGACAGTTAATAGTTCTTTGCTTCTGTGTTATCACCCGGTTTGGTGTAACTGAGGCCCCTGATGAGCTCCCAAACAATATCAAGGTGTGAATACAAATTACCAATCTTGAAAAATCAGTTTGACGGTCAAAGAAAGCAAATTCCTGACTTTGTCTTTCTTTGATACAGAGCAAGGAACGCCAATGCCATTGAGCTTGTTTGAGAATAAAGATGAGGAAATTGTCAGTCATTAGGTGCAGCACTAGCAAATGAAAACAATGCTTGAGAGGCCATTTATTACCAATTCAATTCAACCTTATTTGTGGATATAAACATGTAGTGAGTGTTTCTCCATTTCTTCTTCTTCTCCATTTTTTTAGAAAAACAAAAGCAAGAACAAAGGAATCCACAACACCTACTGTTATCGGGAGCAGAAAACATTGTAGCCATGAAGATACTGAGAAAAGGCAGCAGAAAATTTATATTTGTGAAACCAGGAATCTTTCTGATGACTGTAGGAAAGGGCAGACATAGAAGTAAAGCATGGCATGCTTCTCCATGAGGATTTAACCCTGAGTCCATATTACCTCTGGATCTGATAAGCACAAACCTGGTCCAATTTTCTTTCTTTTTTTTTTTCCCCCAAAGATTTTATTTATTTGTCAGAGAGAGAGAGAGAGGGAGGCAGGGGGGAGCAGCAGGCAGAGGGAGAAGCAGGCTCCCCACTGAGCAAGGAGCCCGATGTGGGGCTCGATCCCAGGACCCTGGGATCATGACCTGAGCCAAAGACAGACACTCAACCGACTGAGCCACCCAGGTGTCCCATGGAGTCCAGTTTTCATGCAAGAAGAACACCCTGCCACTTCTGCCTTGAGTCATTTGCTGTATGAACTTGGGCAAGTTTCTTACGCCTTTTGAACCCTTAATTTAAAAAAAAAGATATTTACAACTAAAATAATAAAACCCATTTCCTAGAATTGTTACACATAAGAAATCATGTGTCAAATACCTAGTACATTATTTGGCCCATGGTCTGTGCTTCATAAACGGAAGCTATCATTGCTGTTATTATTGCTTTTGTATAGAATCGCATTTCTCTATACTTCTCAAACTCTCCCCCCAAAAGCTTGAAACGCCTGATACATATATTATTAGCTTCGAAGCACAGATTGAGAAATCCGCAAAAATCTGCAGAACATTGTTCCTAAACCACAGAGGTAAGAAAATGCCAGGTGTTGTCTCCTTAATCTGTACTTGCTGTGCCCTGGAAAGTTCTGAGATGGTCTTACTGCTACATCTTGGACTCATGTCCAACATTCTGTTGATGTCATTGGGGATTTTACTCATGTAAAAGGCCCTGGATCAGGCTCCCAGACAGAAAGCAATGTAAAGGTGCCCAAGAATCAAGAGGTGTCAAATGAGTGCCCTCACAGGAAAGCAAACGTGTCTGGGTACCCATTAGCTGCAATAAACAGAGTGCATTTGGCAGTGTGAGTTCAACACGGATGTATAAAATAGATGGTCAAACTACTTTTTTTCCCGTATAAAATGTCAGTGAAAGAGTAAAGAGGGGGCTGGTAGTCCCAGTGTTGGATCATTGTGTAATATTGTAGAATGAGGACGGGCCATCTGATAGTCAAGGTATGTCTGCTGCATGGAGGCGGCACTTTGGCAGGGAAATCGACACTTCTTTGACCAACCTCCCGAACGTTGGCTTAAACAAAGCCAGTCCTGCGACTTACGGCCTCATTGTGGAGTAAATAGCCATTGTAGACCGCCATGTATATCGGTATAAGCATTTCTGAGGGAAATTTAATTTAGCAAACTATAAAAAAACACTCTCCTGGGAATATATCTTGTAAACCAGGGCATTAAGACTGTCTAAAACTTATTAATTCAATATCTCTTGATTGGTTGTTAAAAAAAAAACTGTTTAAAATCAATGTCCTTTTATTTTTATCTTAGCATTTAATTTCATTTGCATATGACTATGTCTGTTTCTTTTTGGTTAATTTACTTCACTAGACTTCGGTCCCCAACACAGAAAGAATGGCATTCCCTGAGATACGGCTGCCGACTCTGGCAAG